TGTGGAATCCATGTAGATGGTTGTGCCGTACTTTAAAAAAAATAGCAACATGCCCTGGAAATAAGCCCCTAGGGTGTGCTGTCTTTTTTTTTTTTTTTTTTTTTTTGAGTCTCGACTTTGTTGTCCGAGGCGCCTAGGGTGACGTGCCGCTGGCTCAGCCTAACTCACGCAAACCTCAGCTCCTGGGCTCAAGTGAATCTCTCCTGCCTCAGCCTCCGATAGCTGGGACTACAGGCACTGCACCACCATGCCCGGCTAATTTTTCCTATAGTATTACTACTAGCGGTTAGTATAATACTAAAAACATAGCAAAACCAAAATAATACATTAGTCATCTTATCTGATATTTTTGAGAATTTATATATATATATATATATATATGTATTCGATATATAATTAAGGAAAACCAATTAAGTTTTAAATATACATACAGTAGAGACAGGGGCTCGCTCGCTTGCTCCAGGCTGGTGTCGCGAACTCCTCCTGGAGCGATCCTCCCGCCTCGGCCTCCCAGAGTGCTGGGACGACTGGCGTGAGCCACCTCGCCCGGCCTGGGGTGTCTTCTTGATGGAAAACAAATAAAAGAGCCTGCCTTATTTTCGGGGAAACGCGGCGGTGCCTCCTGCCTGTTTCATAGAAATCCCGTCTGTGGCGGGGAGCGCCGGCCAGGTGGGAAAAGCGCGTAGACTCAGCCGTCTGGGCACCGGGCGACGCCAGCGTTTGCTGAGCACCATCAGCAGCAGATACCGGCTTGACCCTATTTCACGTCTGGACTCCACACAGCCACGCGCACGCCCTGGGCTTCCCACGGCGCCCCGAGTTAAGTCCATTCTTCCCGACAGACACGATCCGTTCAAGGCGTTTCCACTTCCCAGAACCCTGCAAGGGGCGCCCGTATATTTGCATGCACGGCGGAGAGAAAAAAATATCTTGCGTTGGTCTACCTACGCCCGTCCTAAATCTTGGTCCCCGGAAAAAAAAAAAGAAAAAAAGGCGGTAGCTGTGTGCACAGACCACAACTTCTGAAAGCCGTGACAATAAATCGCATTAATTTGGGCCCCATGCATCTGGAGTGTGTGCTAATCCCACAGGCCCAGGGGGAAGCTTAGCTTTGAAGAAAGAGCCTGCTTTCTGAGCGAGGAAAGATGCAGGGTAGCGGGTGCCGGCCTTCAAGGAAAAGGTGCAGAGCCAGCTATGTTTGCCTGTGGGTCCAAACCCCGGTTCACGCCCGGCCTTAGACGTCAGCACCGATTGCAGCAACCACAGCGTTTCCTGCAACTCTGGTGTTGGAGGGGAGATGCTTCTTGGGGGGGGGTGTGTCCACGGTTCCTGCAGCCTCCTCCGGGAAACTGAGGCCCAAGAGGGGAAAGAACCAGCTCGGAGTCACACACCCAGCAGTCCAGCCTGGCGAGCAGAGCTGCAGCCCTGGCTCCCGCAGAGGCCGGGTTCTACCGGGTTTTCCCGAAAATGAGACAGGCTCTTCTATTTATTTTCCCTCAAGAAGACACCCTAAGGCCGGGCGTGGTGGCTCACGCTGTAAATCCTAGCACTTTGGGAGGCCGAGGCAGGCGGATTGCTCAAGGTCAGGAATTCGAAACCAGCCTGAGCGAGACCCTCTCTACCAAAAAGAAATAAATTAATTGACACTAAAATAATATATACAAAAAAAATTAGCCGGGCATGGTGGCACATGCCTGTAGTCCCAGCTACTCGGGAGGCTGAGCAGGAGGATCGCTTGAGCCCCGGAGATGAGGTTGCTGTGAGCCAGGCTGACGCCACGGCACTCGCTCTAGCCTGGGCAACAAAGTGAGACTCTGTCTCAAAAAAAAAAAAAAAAAAAAGAAAGACACCCTAGGGCTTATTTTCAGGATGTGCTATTTTTTTTTAAGTACGTACAAAATCATACATTGATTCAAATAGAGTGAAGCGTCTCTTCTGGAACATCATCCTACTCTCCAGACCGCCGAATCCATCCTGAGTGTCTTGCGACTCTGTTTCCTTTAGAACCGGCCCCGATCTCTCCTGTGGAGCACTAGAGCTCTCACGGGGCGGATGAGAAGGGCTGCCCATCTTCTTTCCCGCCCCGCGACGACACGCACGGGTTGTGCAGACGCGCTGCGCAGCCACGCCCGTCACTAGGGCTTATTTTCGGGGTAGGTGGGGGCTTCTATGGCACAAATGCTTAGAAATCCTGCTGGGGCTTATTTTAGGGGTAGGGCTTATTTTCGGGGGAACACGGTAGTCTCAGCTCAGCCTCTTCCTGGGAGACTCTGAACGGGTCACTTGAGCCCGGGGAGTGTCATGGGCTCGTCCCTGTAACGGAGATGAAGTCAGGAGCCGTCCCCCCACCCCCACCCCGCTGAAGTCTAGGCAGGACCGGGATAAAATGCAGCCTTGTGCTCTGCAAGTCCGACACCCTCCCCGAGTTCTCTGCAGAGCGTGGTGGTCATCTCTGCCCCAGAGCTCTGCTTCCCTGCATGATTCTTCTGCTCCCCACTGCAGGAGCTGAGAAGGGACCCCCCCCAACCCGGTGCTCAGCCTGCACACCGGCCTTTCTGAGCGGGGTACGTTCCCCTGCAGGGAGTTGCCCCAGCTGAGGTCCCTAGCGGCTCAGGAAGAGGGCCAGTATTTGCATGACCTTTCCAGTCTGTCGGGGGCTGAGCAGGGGGGTGTGATGAGCTCAAGGCAATCCTCCCCCCCAGAAAAGGAGGCAGCAGCCAACATTCACTGCAGCCCAGGAAGCAGTGGGCGGAGGTGGAGATGGGGCTCCCAAGCTCTCCTTGCTAAAGCACCTCTGGGCCTGGGACTCCTTGTCCCGCCCCTCCGGCTGCCAATCACCCAGCTCTGTGCCCTCTCTCCTCCCATCCTCCGCCCCTTCTCCTCTTTTCTCTTGGAACCAGAACAACAAGACCTCATTTCTCCTTCTGCAGAACACTTCGACCGTTCCTTCATTCCTCTGTCCCCGGAGCTCGGCCGGCAGACACCCTCCCCACGTGGCGCTCACCTTCCGGGTTTTGGGGTTTCAGCCCCTGGAAGTCCCGCCTCCCGGGAGAGCCCTCGGTCCCCAGCAAAGCAGGGCAGACAGTGGGCACCCTCCAAAGGGCCCCCACAGCCACCGTGAGTGACGGCGGGGCTCCTTCCCAAATGCACAGGAAGTGGGGCTAGCCGGAGAGCCCGAATCATCTTTCCTTTCCCATCATGAGTGGGTGTCAAATTGCACCGAACGCTGCTTCCGCCTCTATTAAGAGAGTCAGCTGGCTGAAGCTGCCAAGGGTGCAAATTGCATTAGTGTACTTTCGTTTTATTTGTTTGTTTGTTTAGACAGTCTCGCTTCAGTTGCCCGGGCTAGAGTGAGTGCCGTGGCGTCAGCCTCGCTCACAGCAACCTCAGACTCTTGGGCTCAAGCGATCCTCCTGCCTCAGCCTCCCGAGTAGCTGGGACTACAGGCATGCCCCACCATGCCCGGCTGATTTTTTCTATATATTTTTAGTTGTCCAGCCAATTTCTTTCCATTTTTAGTAGAGACGGGATCTTGCTCTTGCTCAGGCTGGTTTCGAACTCCTGAGTTGGAGCGATCCGCCCACCTCGGCCTCCCAGAGTGCTGGGATGCCAGGCGTGAGCCGCCGCGCCCGGCCTCATTAGTATACTTTCTAATATGGAACATCCTTCGTTGCTGGAATCGATATACTGTATGTTTCCTATGATTTCACACTCGATCCGATACACTGACGTTTTCTCTGTAACATTTCTTCTTCAATGAGCTTCATTCGCGGTTTTGTTTTGTTTTTTTTTCCTTCTTTTTTTTTTTTTTTTTTCGAGACCAGAGTCTCCCTCTGTTGCCCGGCTAGAGTGAGTGCCGTGGCGTCAGCCTCGCTCACAGCAACCTCAGACTCCTGGGCTCAAGCGATCCTCCTGCCTCAGCCTCGCCGAGTCCGTTGGGACTCACAGGCGTGGCGCACACCGACGCCTCGGACTAATTTGTTATCTATATAATTT